ACGGGCGGCCCGGACACGCACCGAATGGCCCAAAGCGCGATCGGGCCTCACGACCCTGTCACGGAATCACAGAACCGATTAGGTTGGAAAAGCTCTCTGAGATCATGGAGCCCGCGCTCTGACCGAACGCCACCATGTCAAGCAGCCCATGGCACTGAGTGTCACGTCCAGTCTTGCCTTCAACACCTCCAGGGATGGCGACGCCACCACCCTGTCTAATCACCCTTTTTTTGAAATTCCTCTTAATGCCCAACACGAATTGCCCCTGGTCCAGCTTAAGGCTATGCCTCTTGTCCTGTTGCTGGTTGTCTGGGAGAAGAGGCTGACCCCCACCTGGCTACACCCTACTTCAGGTAGTTGTAGGGAGTGACAATTCCCCTAAACATCCTTCTCTGCAGGATAACCACCAGCTCCTGCAGTTGCTCCTCATCAGATCTGTGCTCCAGACTCTTCACCAGCTTCACTGCCCCTCTCTGGACTTGCTGAAGCACATCACTGTCCTTTCTGAACTGAGGGGCTCAGAATTGGACACAGGACTCAAGGTGTGGCCTCACCAGTGCTGAGTACAGGGGCAGAATAAAAAGCTGAAAAGCTGAGAGCTGCTCCTGAAGCACTGCCTGCTGACCTCCCCCCAACACCCAAGCAGAGGGGAGAATTACATCTCCGCCTGTTGCCACTGCCAACTCTGCAGGAAAGTAGAAAGTCAGGTCCCAAACCGAGGAGTGGAAGTCTCCTAAAGGATTTATCATGCCAGTTTTCTAGGAGGATGACTTTTCCTCTGTACCACTGTTACTCATTTTGGAATTTCCAGGAAAACAAATCCAATACCTCACAGCTGGCAGCCTCTACCTGACAAATATTATTTCCAATTATGAGAAAAGCTTCTGTTCCTCCTCTCCACACAGGGTTGGTAGTTTTTTTAAGGAGGAAAGAGGACCAAAAAAGGAGGACTTATGCATCTGTCTGTTTTCTTTCTTGGCTATCGATTTGAGTAATAGCCTGAAAATGACGAGGGTTCAGTTAGAGTTATCCTTTTCAAACAGATGGCTAATTAAATGTTAATAGCACAAGCAAGCAAAATGTTTTAAACACCATCAAACTCACAAATGTTTGAGGCATTCTGAATGCCATATTCTAGGGGCAAGGTAAAGCCAGAAGAGTCTCGATGGAAGATCACAGGCTGAAGCTTCCCACTGCCCTAAACTACTTAATAAAGACAAGCCTTACTAAAACATACAGTATTTAAAAAACCTTTCAACAATGATGACCTGAAGGACTGCAGGTAGCCTCTTTCAGTTAGTTCTGCTTTTTAAAATTCTCTTTAGCAACCACACTTCAAAAATCATCAAGTAATCCTTTATCAAGTCACCTCTGAGGGTCTGAATAAATAAGAGGCCAGAGAGAGAGAGCTTTTCTGCTGCACTGAAGCAGAAGAAAAGCTCTGTGATATAATAACACTGGAAGAAGAGGTAAGGGAATTATTCCAGATTAAGTCAAAGGGAAAATAATTTGATCCACTACTAAATGTCCAATAAAGCACAGACATTACAAAACAGATCATTCATGTCAGAAATAAGACTGAAGCTCTTAAATTTCTCTGACATTCAATGAATTCCAGTACCTTTTTTCTTTCCCTATGAGACAAAACTTGTGGTAGAGAACAACTTTCACATGTCAGAGTCCACTTGGCACTCATTATCAAGCACCTACAGCCAAGGAACACAATCACAGCCAGAACACAATGACTGGCTTCTTACCAACACCTGTAAATATGATTTTCAGCAGCTACAGAGCCACAGCTACAGCATTAAACTAGGAATGGAACACTGAAGGAGCATCAGTTTGATGAGCCATGAAGTTCCATGGCCTCCCTCTTTCATTATTTCTAATGTTTTGGCCTCTTTGCTCCCCAAGTGACAGTACTCTGAAAGCCAGGACCAACTTCTCAAGTTTTGAGACACCTGTGGAGAAAGTGTCAGGGCATGGAAAGAAAGATGAAAATGGGAGTGGGCTCAGTTCCCCTTAGCTCTGCTCTTTAACAAGTCAGTGTCACATGAATGTCAGGCAGCACCAGGCATTGCTCTTTAACAGCTGGCAGTGCTCTGTGAGGGGCCAAGGAAGGTGCTGTGATAAAGTTACCTTGTCACAGCTGAGCGTTTCTCAGTAACTCAGCACACTAGAGATGGAGGCTTGACCTCCATCAATAGTCAAAGACCTCCATCAAACAAAGAATGAAAAGCCCATCTGGAATCAACGTGGCTGTAAGCTCTGGGGGCTACATGTACTGTAGAGAACCAAAATAACATGACACAGTAAACAGACCTGGGTCAATAAGGCTTTTATTGTCTTCCTGTACCCACACACATTTGCAGACTATACCTAAAGTGCCAGTTCAACTTTCCCATCCATCTTGCTTTGGTATGGAATCAGCGCCGGTCTGACCTCCTCCTTCAGGAACTTGGCCACCTGTTCAAGATGAGAAAAATAAAATGAGGAAAAGGACTTGCCTCCTGCTCCCCATTTGGACCTGCTTGTCTCACTGGGATCTCTCTTTCACAAAGACACCCAACAGTCTGGTATGTCCAGGGTCAAAAGTGTGAAGCCACAGGGAAGAAAGACAAGAAAGCCAAGGAAATCAAAGGAGAAAAATGTGTCTGCCTTAGCAGTATAGTTAGAGTTATATAATATGTACACTCTGTAGCAAACAGTGTGCATATTATATACAAAAGGAGGCAGGATTAGACTACACATTGCATTAAACCCACAGCCTCTTTCCACTACTTCACCTGTTGAGGAGCACGTCCAGTGAAGGAGGAAGGATCCAACAGGCTTTCAAGTTGTCTATGGATAGGGCTGAAGTAAGGATCAGCACGGACACGGGCAATGAAGTCATTATCACCCCCTTCCTGTTTCACAACAGCTGCTGCTTGCTGAGAGAGAACACGAATTTTCTCATGGCAGTCCTGTAGGTACAGGGAGAGGAAGATGGAAAAAAAGTCATTTCATTGCTATTGACAGCACCTGTTCATCTCACCAACTTGGGTGGGAGGAAAAAATATCGACATGTATTGCCCTGGACAGTGCAAAAAGAAGATGCAGTTTTGATTGCAGTGCTTCACATGCCACTGCATTAAAACAAGATTTTCTTCATCCTTTCACATCTGCCTCTTGAGGCTAAAACAGTCCCAATGTCACACAGATTCCCTGCTGAACTATAATATAAACTAATGACACTGGAATAATTTATACTTCTTCAAATTTCCCAAATACTCTTAGGAGTCATTCTACGGTTTGGTTTTGGTTTTTTTCCAATGTAAATAATGTAAAACCTCTACAGATTTTGAAAAGGGAAAAGAAAAGAATCTGTCCAACTTAACAAGCAGTGAGACTTTGCAAATCATGGCTTACATAAGGATAGACTGAGGAAAAAAAACCCCATTCCTTTGGAATCAACTGGTAAGAACAAGGGAACCCAACTGTAGTCAGGTACCACCTGCAAAATCAGATATTGCCATGCTGGTCCTAAAATACAGCCATGTGACTGCATTTACAGCTATGCAGGAATCTTCTCCTTAAATGTATTATCCTTGATCTACAATTAGGACAAAAATAATCCTGCCTTTTCTATCCAAATGTCATTTTGCTTCACCACTGACCTGCCTCAGGCGAACACATCTATCTTTTGGATATTTAGGGGAGGGATCTGTTTAGTAGTGGGGAGAGGAAGTGAGTTTCAGTGCTATGAGGTAGGAAGCCCAGAAAACGTGCTGGTCCAAAGTTCCCAGCACATAAAGCCAGAACATATGGATGTGAATATGAACATCTTCTACAAAGGTACTAAGCCCTATGAGTATGTAATTAAACCAGAAAGAAGGCAGGTCAACAAGAGACACAAATGAATCACAGAATGTGATTCATATGATGTGACCCTTAATGCATTTAATAATAATGCACAGTCAGGAAGCTTACTCACTGCCCCACTGACATCAGAAACACAGGGGGAAAAAAAGGAAAAAATGATGTTTCCTGACTAATGTAATGTTTCAGAAAACACAACTGTTTCAGAAAACTGAAGCCACATAAATTCTGCTCAAAGCTTCTATCAAACCCTTCCATTATTCTTGCAAGTTTCATGTGGAAATAATCATAGAAGGAAAAATTATTATCTAAAAGGTAAATGAAAATAAGGTGTTTCATTAAGATGGAGATTTGATTATCAACTTTGACCTGAGCTGTGAAATTAAATGATAAGAAAATATAATCTAATTGTGTCTGGGTTTATTTACTAAGGAAAATATTTAATTACAGTTTGCTTGAACACAGGAAGCTGAATGAAGGACTATAAACAAAGTGGTTAATATACTGTACTGAGTTAGGGAAGAATGACACATGAATGAGTGATTCAGAATGGTCTTACTTGCTTTTTTTTGTTAACAGTACTGATTCATCCTCTTTTAATTTACAAGGTAGCCAACTGCCAACATGTTCCATTTAAAGAAGCCTGGCCTGTGTTCCAAGTTCCTTCAAACATTTAAAAAAGGAAAACGCCTACTAGTATCAAACACAAAAATAGGTCTCCCTCCTCCCCAGCACAGCCAGCCAGATTAGCCCAAACACACAGTGCTCCTAACAGAAAACAGGGATCTCCACAAGTGCTCTCCCCCCAGAGAGCAGAGCCTGGCTTTGCAGCACCAGTGCAACACTCATAACTGTGGGAGCAGGTGAAGAGCAGAGAAAGGTGAGACAGGACAGGAGCCCAGATACATTTGTTTCTCAGGAGACAAACACCAGGCTGTAAACAAAGGTAATTTGGACACTTCATTTGTACCTGACGATTGCCCCCAGCCTTCACCATTGCCATGATTATATTCTCTGTGGCCATGAATGGCAGCTCCTGCCGGATCCTTCTCTCAATCACCTTAAACACACACACACACAAAAAAAAAACCAAACAGGAAAAAAAGAAACAGCATTATAGAAAGTCTACAGATGACTGAAAACTTCTCAGTGAAGATTTTCTCCTCTCCCCTTGAATCTCTGGGACTGGGCAATGGTGACAGAATCACAGAAAAGTTTGGGTTGGAAGGGACCTTTAAGGCCATCTAGTTCAACCACCTGTAATGAGCAGTGACATCTTCAATTGGATCAGGTTGCTCAGAGCCCTGTCCAACCTCATGCTGAATGTTTCCAGTGATGGGGCATCCACCACCTCTCTGGGCAACCTATTCTAGTGTTTCACCACCTTCTTTGTAATAAAATTTCTTTCCTATGTCATCTGAATTGTCCCTCTGTCAGTTTAAAACCACTGCCCCTCGTCCTATTGTAACAAGCCCTGATAAAAAATTTGCCCCTGTGATGCAAAGACACATTGTCATTTTGAAATTAGCTCTGGAAATCCAGATACTGAAGTTGATAATACTTAGAAGCCATATCTTGTACGAGACATTAGATGTCCAATAGATTTTTTTAACCTGTACTAAGTTCCAGGACTGGATGAGATCTGTCTAGACAGTATCTTTCACGGCTAAACTCTACAGATCTATTCTGTAATTTAGGGAAAAATATCCTTTGTAACAAGTTTTGTATTTACTCTGTTACTGGCCTCACAAGAGGCCCCTAACGCATGTCCTACAACAGTGAGAATATGGCAAGAATAGAGCAAAATTCAGAAACCACTTGAACTAACATAAACATGTAATTCTTGGAGTGGGACACACAAGCACACTTTGGCATAGCTCTGGCCTTACCAAGGAGGTCCATTATCTCCTGCTTTACCTTTGGATACACCACAAGTCCCTCGGAGATGTTCTGCAGTGTGCTCAGAATGATGTCAGCTGTGAGGAAAGCCTCAGCCAGACACACGCGCCTACGGGACACACACACGCAGAACCCTGGTCAGCAACAGGGCCACATTCCAGCCACCTCAGATCCTTCAGCTTCTGTAAATAATGCTCTAAACAGCATCACTGTGGCCTTACACTGGAGCTATTCTCTTTTTTTTTTTTTTGGACAGTAGAGAGGGAGAGGGAAAAGGGTGAAGGCAGACGTAGAAAGCTCCAAGATAATTCAGTGCTTACACAGATGGGAAACAGGGCAGAAATCTACAGGATCTTTCCCTATGTGCTCTTTGCTGAAGTGTCTACTACTGATCCTACCCTCCTGCTGCATGCTCATACTGTGCCTGGCTGTGCTCAGTGGGGTATTTCCAAGGGAATCCATGCATTTGGTGAGGGCTTCCTCCAAGAAACCAGCTCCTGGTCACAAAGGAGGCTCCTGACAAAAAGCAAAGGAGGGAAACAAGAGGAGTAGTGGGGCCTGAGCTGTATCAGGCAAAATGCTCTGCATCACAGTGCAGCAAACAGCATCATACATCTGTGACAGCAGGGCCTGGCCCATCCTAAACTGTCATCTTTTAAAATTTCCTAGTTCTTGAACCTTGTGCTACATCTAAGCCCTCCAATTCTATCACAGTGCCTTAAAACAACTTTGCTGGATTGTAGATTGATTGAACTTTCTCTGGCTTGTTCTCCTTCAAGACACTATAGCTTTAACAAGAGCACAGATTTTTCTGTTTGGTTAATGAAGTGGACAGATTAGCCTTTCTATTAGATGAGATGAAAATAAAATTTTAAACATTCCAGTTCATCTCTCAACATTTGGTGCCTATTGGGAAATAAACACACCATATCAACCAGTATGCAATTTCTAAAATTTACATTGTTTTCTGCTGCCTATTCAGCTCTTTTTTTAATGAGACTAGGAGCTGTGGAGTAAGGTCCCCCTGGGAAAAAATCTTACATTTTTTCACAAAATGTTATGCAGGTATTACGTTTGTGGAGACATTTTAAAAATAACATTCTTGTCAGCAATCTCAATGCTAATCTAGCATTAATTAAGCCAAAACTGCTGCTGCTCACTGTCTCACAGGTGCCATACCTTAGAAGTCTAGAGATTTCTAAGATTCTAAGAGATCAAATTCTGCAACAGAATATGACTTTGAAACTAAAATATTTCAAAGGTAGGCATGAGCTTTATGCAGATTTAGTACCAAATAAAAGATGGAAGAATTGAATTTAATTGCTGTAATTTACTTGATAATAATTGTAGATAACTTCTGCTCAGCTCAAAATAGTTGTAATGAAGAATTATAAAACAAAGCAAAATTTGCTGAGCAATATCCTAAAGACCTGCACGTATTTTCATGAAACTTTTTAAAGAGTAGAGTAATTGTGTGCTTTCTCCAGGATCTGACTACTCTTTGTAAATAATATTTTTCAAAATTAAAATATGTTTTTTTTAGATTATTTGGAGGGTTAAGGTATTGGACTATTCTCCAAAAAATGAAAAAAAAAAGCAGGGTCAAAAAACTGCATCCAAAATAAGGAGGAGAAATTTGAGAAATGTGAGTACTGTAATACTGTGCTATTGAAACAGGAAGACTATGAAAGCAATTTACTATCCTGGCTTCTGTATCCCTCCCTTTCACTGCTGGTTTACTTTACAGAAGATCTTGACATTAAAAAGAACCTAACAGTTTTTATCTGATGGTACAGAGGAAACCAGTTTGTAGTCTCTAGGTTCTATTGAGACTGCTTTTTGTCCAGGTGGTATCTTGTGGCTTTAGTTTCAAGGCAGGATTTTCTGCAGAGGCCAGAGGAGCTCTCTGCAGCCTGTGCACAGACCTGTTGGCACTGTCATCCAGCGTTCTCTCAAACCACTGCACGGCGGCCGTTTGCAGGGGATCCATCACCAGCGTCATCAGGTGCCGCGCCAGGCTGCAGCAGCGCTCCGAGCGCATCGGGTTCCTCTTGTAGGGCATTGCGCTCGAGCCTGGAAAGCAGGAACAGGGATGCAAACAGGGCAACAGAAGGAGTGCTGCGTTACAGGAGAAGAGATACAGATCCTCCCCCAGGAAAGGAAAATGTGGCAGGAATCATAGTGTCACTATAGGACACGAAACAACACGAGCGCACGCGCCGCTGCTCTCAAGGTGAAGAAAACGAGAGGTTTATTTTCTGACTCTAACATTTATAGTTTTCTAAAAGTGACAGTGGACTGGAAGGTGAAAGTGCCACCTCTCCAATGACACTGGACAAACTAACAGTCTATCAAATTTCTCTTCTTTCATAAAAGAATGCAAAACAATAAGTTATTTACAGAAAATGTGTGAGAAAATTTGTTACAAGAATGTAAACATCAGAAAGCTTAAAATCTTCAAAAATCAGGGCAACATCATCGTTTTGACTAAAGCCTCAAAATACAACGATTTTCTATAATAACAAAAATGACACCACCATTTCCCCCTTCAGATCAGAAACATGTAAATGTGGGCAAAGAAGAAGTGAGATGACATTTTTGCAGTTCTGCAAAACAGAAGTACTACCACATAAAAGGGACAAATAGTTTACTTTTTAATGTAGCATTTAGCACCATCTCTCTAGGCTACCCATGGCAATCTTAGCAGTGTTGGAGCTCCATCTGCTCAGTAATACTGTCCTTCAAAGTCAGATGCTTACAGTGCTGCTTGTTGCTCTAGTGAATGGGTATTAAAATCATCCTCAGATCCAGGTCTGCCTCTCTAGGCAATGGAACACACATGGCTACTCTTGCTCTCCCCACAAACACAGGGAGTGCACAAATACAAATCTGATTCTAATTGCCTAATATCCAGAAACCTTTAGGCAAGGTGTTTTTTCTTTTTCCTTCCCCCTCCCCTCCTTTCTTTTAAAAGGATTGAAAATACTAACAATGTCAACTCCAATTAATTTAAAGCAATTTCTGTCAGCGACATTTCTAAGTTTGTTTAAAAGGCCACACCAACATAAATGAAAAGACACATACACCAGTCCAGGAAAACTCTCTCATCCCTTACCAATCTGGTCTTTCTCAAAAGGCTCCTCTATCTCCTTCAGGTTGGCCAAAAGACGAATATCAGTGCAAATCTGGAAAGCAAGCATGAGAAATTAACAAAACAGAACCAAACTGACACCCACCAATGTATCTTAGTGTTTGTGCTCTTGGAGAATCTTTGCATCTATGGGCAAGAAGTAAACTAGGGGCAGTGGAAAATTTGACAAAAAAATTGATACTGCAATCATACTTCCTGGCCTAAAAATGTTTGTCAAGACAACACAGAAAACAGCATGTCCACTGGATTAGATGGGAAAGGACTCCAGCAAGGGCAAATGTTTGCAGGGAATGGAAGACAGATTAGAAGAGAACACTGAAAATGCATAACAAACTCGCACAGTGATTTGCAAACACAGATAATGTGTGCTTACTGAAGTGGGAAAAAATCAAAACAGAAGAAAATACCACAGATCACTTTAGCCCAAGAGGAGGAAGAAGGAGGGAACAGAGATAAATCAATGAAAAGAATCCACAAGGACAGAGAGAAGAACACCATTATCAGAAAGGCAATTAACTAGGAGGAAATGATGAAATTTAAGAACTCATACACCACTAGGAAAGACATTTACTCTAATTGGATCAATTTAGCATAGATTAGACTAATATCTGGTGTGGGAGTTGTTAACCCATTTTAGAATCTGCTCAGTTAACTTGCTTTATTTGCCATTGGTTTTAAGATCTTTGAGATTTGAGTATCGGGCATGTACCTAGCAGTGAATTTTCATGACCACAAAGAAGACAGCTGAACAAGGAACACCAATATTTTTGAGTAGAGCATCCTGCACCAAAGTACCTTCTCCTCAAGATGTGAAACATTTCTCCATCTTCCCAATGTACAGAACCAGGGTGCTCACCTTGTGTATGGAAGCCCCCAGACTGGCCAGCACAGCCAGGACTCCAATGTCCACCTTGCGACTGTAGGTCTGCCCGGTGACCATGTAAGCCCTAGAAATAAGCACAGGAGTTGAGTGCTCCAGGCAGACACAAGAGTACTGCAAGACTTTGAGCAAGCACTGATGAGGCTCTTGAAGTGGAGGGCTGTCATTCTGCTCGGATGAGAACAACTTTGGATTCAGGCTGTCAATTTCTTGGGGCAGCATGCAGGTGGGAGAGAGGCAAACAGAGGAAAAGGGACAACTGTGCTTTGACAGGGAGACAAGTAGAAGTGGCTGATTTAAGAGGTGACGTTTCATGCAGGAAAATGCAACTGGGAATGGAAGATGGCAAGGGGGAATAAGTGAACAGCAGCACAGATGCTGGTTTGGCAGCCAGGGGAATCTGGGCCAACACTACCAGCAGGAGTCACACACTGCTAAGAATGTGTTACATACCGCTTGAATCCTGCCTTCTCCGTCACTAATCTGTCCAGTTCTTCAACCTTGGGGTGAAGTGAAAAAAACCAGAGCTCAAAACACAACGCAGCAAGGTCAGCAAAAGCAAAATTGGTCTTTGCTTTTCTCAGTTTACTGTCAAAAAATCTTCTACTTTCTGTGAAATATCCCATCCCAAATGCTGCTTACTTTCACAGAGGCTTGCCAACGAGCCCCAGAGGGATCAGGGTGACTTTGTAAATTTAATGTGAGAATCTCAATGTTCCCTCAAAGAAAGCAGCATTCCAGAGCAGACAATTGCCCAGACTGTATGCCTGCACCATGGGCTGCCTGACGTACTTTGCTGTGGTCTCCCTCAAAGAGCTGCAAGAAGCTGGCCTGAGTGCCAGTGGTGCCCTTCACCCCCCGAAAGCGCAGGTCATCCCGAGCCCGCTCCAGGCTCTGCAGGTCCATGCACAAGTCTTGAATCCACAAGCAGCAGCGTTTCCCCACAGTGGTGAGCTGGGCAGGTCTGAAAACAATCAAGAACACAACACGACTCATTGAGAGTTTGCCCAAGCACCACACTTCACTGCTGAGTCTGCCATTAAGAGTTCCCTACAGATCCAGCTCTATTGACTCATTTGAGCAGAAATTAACAGGATTTGGCTTAGGCAGAAGGATGTACTGAAGATGTAATCATTCCTTTCAGGAATTAGATGGAATTGCAGTACCAGAAAACAGCAATTTGGGGTCCAAGTGCCAGGCTGGCGCCCCCTGCCGGCCTGCAGGCGCTGTGCAGACTGGGGGTGCATCAGTCCCCCACCCAATTCTGCTCACCCAGGGCACGGGGGGCACCCTGGCTGACTTACAGCACGGGTGTGAACTTCTCAGCACACTGCATTCACTTGGTGATTTTAAATGATTCCTCTCAGGAACCTTTCTTTCTTATTCATAAAAATGTGTTCCTCAGCCTCTGGGCAAACACGCTTCAACAATGCTGTCAGCCAACACTTCTTGTAAGACTTCTACCTTGGAATAAGTAATTGCAAGCTTCAGCTACACTTTAGTCCCCCTGAAAGTGCTTTGAGGCAAAAACAGGGGTGTTTCTGGAAATCACTTTCCAGAAAGTGAAATATTTCAAATAATCCACATGAACTCCAAAGAAAATCTCTGTGCTACTTCAAAAAACCATACACACATCAACAATGTGCTCCTGATTAAGCTCAGACATAAAAAAGAAGCTTGTAAGATCTGGAAGCAGGGACAGGCGATCCAGGAGGAATACAAAGAAACTATTCAACACTGCAGAGACAGGGCAAGGAAAGCCAAAACACACCTGGATGAATTTAGTATGGGATGTGAAAGGCAACAAGCCTTTGCAACATACAGAGGCACAGGCCTCTGCAAGTACATAAAGAGGAAAAGGGAAGGCTAGGGAAAACATGGACGTGATTGTGAATGGAGTAAAGGCCCTGCTGACAAAGAAAACACAGAAAAGGCTGAGACATCAATTCTGATTTTACCTTGTATACACTTCCTGAACGCTCCTCTGTCCTCTTTCCAAAAGCCCAAATAAAACTAACACAGATAGTCCTCCAAAGAGCTGTAGATGAAGAGGGCTGTAGGACTAGAGCTGATGAAACCCAGGCTGCATGTACAGCAAGATGATAAATCAGAGACCTGATGCTTTCACTCTCCTTTGGGAGAAATGTTCAAGCACCAGACACTGAGTCTGACATGACCTGTGCTTAATTTCCCTGCCTTTGCTGCTCCATATCACTGGGTAGGAGACCCAGGCTCAGCTCATGGTATAGTTTAATGCTTCTGAAAACAGTCTTCATGAAGCAGGAGATTAAACTACCCCAAAAACAGAAGCACTCACATCTCATTATCCATTGACTCAGCATCTGTAGTAACAAGTAGATGTTACTTCTTTAACAAAACTTTCTAGGCTGCAGCGGAAAAAAACTTAGAGAAAAACCAAGAAAATCTGACTGGAAGACAGGCTTAGAGCAATTCCCAGTCACGCATTTTTGAAACAGCCCAGAGCATGCACATCTGTGTTTTCCTGGAAGTCATCCTCTATTTGTAGCTGTGTTGAAGCAATTGCTGACAGCTAGTCAAAGCAGTCCAATTTCCTGAACAAGTCTGGAGTAAGAAACAGACACCTTTTCTGAGCCACCAACTGGTCAGAGATGGGAAAAAGGATGGCTAAAGAGCAGTAGCAGGTCAGTTTAATCAAAGCACAGACAACAAAAGAAAGCAAAGGCTGATGGCTACTTACTGGTAGTGAGTGAAGCCCAAAGCAGGCATGTCAGCATACTTCTCAGCAAAGTCGGCCAGCCGGCTGATCACCCTTGCGAGCTGGTGGAAGCAGGAAGGATAGAAAAGAGGTGGAATAAGAGAGGAAAGAACCCCACACAACACAGAAGTTCACATAATTAAGCACAACATCGTGAGAAAAAGGGGAGGGAAACCACTGTGCAGGGAGGGACCTTGAGGGGCAACTGTGCAGCTCCCCCTAACCATAGAATATGGCGTGTTTCAGTTTTTCAGGGCATACATGCAATTTCTGCTTGCTACAGAATGCAAGAGCTCACACACAAGTCATTGGACTTGAGCTCAAACTAGCCTAATCTTCATGCCCTACCCAATCCTACAGTTGGCTCATCCTTGGGTATTTTTTTTATTCCTGGAATTAGAAATACAGTTGCTTGGGCTATAATTGACACACGTACAGTCCAGGGCAAATTGGATGCCAACTCATTCAGGTCAGATAGACACCACTGCACTACACTCCTGCTATATTTGACCTCAGAAAATTGTTTTATATGGTTTCTTGAATGCTGACAGACTCCTAGGAATATAGCTAAGGATAAGACTAAGATAATCCTGAAAGCAATACAGTTCTATTGCTATGTAGTACCTGGGGCACAGATAAACAAGGAGCTGCTTATAATTCCCACTGTGAGCCAAAAAGCTCTGGGAAAAGACTTGAGAAAGGAAAGAAAGGGAACTTCACTTTTTGACAACAACCCAGACAGACAACTCCTCCTATTTCCCACAAAGGTTTAGGAAAATCCAAGTTAAACCCAGGCTATGCACAGGACATGAGTGCTCCCCATTTCTGAGACACTGCAGAACCACCTTCTCACCTTGGGCAGCAGGAGGTTAAACCCATCACGGAGGACAATCAAATCCTGCAAGAAGCAAAGAAAGGAACTTTGGGCCATGCTTAAAGGACCAGACATAACTGTTTCTCTCAGAGATGACACAGATGACTCAAAAGTCTCCTCTTAAATGATTTGCTTTCCTTCTTGTAATAGAGGTTGCACTGAACTTGCTTATGACAAAAATGCTGGATCCACCATTGCTCCTTTTATACTGTCCATGGAAAGTCATAAGTGGTGGATGACCTGATTCCACCAAGTACCTATGAATGATTATTTTGAGGTCTTGGGACTGCCCCTGGAATGACAGACTGTATCATATGGTCCCAAGTGGAAAACACAGGCACTGTAGGCTAAAGACAGCAGAAAAGTAAGTGGGCTGATGAGGCACCAATTGTCTTTACTCCTTTTTTGAACCTGAGGTATAGCTGGGCACAGGTGTCACAAGGAAGGTGGTATTACCCAAAAGCTAAACAGGTTTGTAAAGGAGTAGAGAAAAAATAATCACAGAACAGCTTCTTATGCAACAAAAGCATCTGTGAAGTTGCAATGACTTGAACAGTGGAACAGCAACATATACTGAGATGTAAGGCTTCAGTTTTGCTCTCTGTTGTAGATGAGGTTCTTCACAACTATTTTACAGTTCTGTAGAACAGCAGTACCTCCTTTTTCACTTAACACACTCATCCACTCTCTTCACTACTGAAAAGCTTGTTTTCCCCTGAATTATGCAGGGGTTCCAAGCAGCAATTGAAAGCTCATGGACCTTGTTCTGTAAGTCAGTGAACTCTTGTCACAGGGGTGTAACTGATAAATCACACAGTTCACAAGTTTCTTCATGTGTTTGCAACTCCCCTCTTATCTCCTTGAATATTTAACATGCAAGCAGAGGTTAGGGAACAGTTTCCAGATAGATTTTACTTCACATCAGAAGAAAGAAGGCAAGTGGAGCTTGCTTTCCTAGGGTAAAAGAACTGAATTAACTTAACAGTAAAATGAACAAAATGACTGAAAAAGCCACATAATATTTTATAAAGAAAAGTTTATAAAGAGCTATAAAAGAAACAACAGTAGCTTTGTTTGACCCAGCTCTGCAGGCAGGGAACTGGAAATGCACCATTACCGTGTTATCCCCTACGTAGCAGGAGGTTGCTCCAAGGTGGATGATGGCTGCAGCTTTCGGACAGCAGTGGGCAAAGGTGTGCACGTGGGCCATCACATCGTGGCGCAGCTTCTTCTCCTCCTCCGCTGCCATCTTGAAGTCAATGTTGTCCAGGTTTGCTTCCATCTCCTGGATCTGCTCATCCGTGATTGAAAGCCCAAGTGACTGCAAGGGGAAAAGAACTTGCATTGCATTTTCTCTTTACCAACAAATGGAGACAGAAGCTGTTTAAATAATTGACTCCCGTCTGACATCTCCCAGAAATGTGACAATTTGGTATAAACGAGCTGTAACAGCAAATGCTTTCATTCTAGGGCTCTCCAGCCTTTTCCAATAGGACAGGACAGTGTTCATTCTCAGATGTTCCTCTTGGGCTTCGTGCCTTCCTCAATCCTGTAACGTTCCTGTGAAAACTACAAAAATTAAAGGACAAAAATTAAAGGGGAAAAGTGATATAAAAATAATATAGTTTGAACTTCTTTTAATGAAGTTTACCTTTTGGTTAAAGAAAAATCCAGCTAACATGTGACTAATAGCTTGTGTCAGGAAAAACTCTCTGGACCACAACTAAACCTACACAACTATAAACTGGGGCTTAAATCATATGGAAAGGTGAATATGTTTTATATGTTTGTACCTTTTCAAAAGTCCTGTAGTACCTCATCTCAGACTGAATATGAAACCTTGAGAAATCAGTTACTTGATGTTACTTATCTAGAAGAAGGAGATGAATGCTCCTAGTTCATATTCAAAACTAATTGCTAGAGCTTTTTAGCAAGCTGACTTAAAAACAAAGATATCCAACCACAGATTATACACTGGTGCAATCCACTAAGATGAGAAAAATGTCTTTTTGTGATACCGAGAAATTAAAAGTCTCACAGTGAACTTGGTATTACTGCCTTTTCCAAATTAAAATACTATTGTCCCGTGCATGAGTGATTAGAAATCATCAACCAGGAGGCTTCCAGGATTCAAAGAATTTAAAAAACTGGTTCTGTTCAGAATCAAACTGACTGAAAAATGGTTTGCAGGAACCTGGAACTGAATAAGACAGCAAGTGAAGCAGATGTGTTCTCAAGGACCTCATCAGATAATCAGTACCCAAACTTACACTGCCACAAGCATATACACACCTGTGAGTGTCCAGCTCAATGGGGAAAGGCACCTGGCCCCAGACTGCTGCCTTTCAGGTGCACTGGTATAAACTGCAACTGCCCAAAAGCACAGGCAGCTCAGTGGGCAATGATTCCTGTGCCCAGATTAAAATCTCATGCCTTGCTCAGACATCCGTGATCCTTTGGGAAAAGCTGACCACAGTACACAGTCACACAGAGAGGAAAGAAACAACCTCCCAAAAGTGGCAACTTGACATAGAACACATGCAAGCTAGGGTAGTGCCAAGACAAATGATGTTCTCATCTGTCCACAAACATGTGAGTCTTTTCCCTATGAGTTTTTGCTGGTACTGACAGCACCTTGGGAAGAAAACAAACATCCTTCAAACCCCTGTACCTAAGAAAACCAAGTAGGAAAACTACATAAGGAAGAGCACAAGGTTTTTCCCAAAGCACCACAGCTCAGTGAAGTCAGTGAGGAACTTTCTGGACTGTGCTTTTAAGGCATCATTCTTCTGAGACTGTCCCAGTATTTTGATGTGCCACTCTAACAGCTCTGACTGCTCATGACTTTTCCTAAAGGACGGGGCAGAACAGACAGATGACATGGCACAGCTCCTGCCCACAGAATGAGAACACTGGGTTGTCCATCATATAAAGAACATGTGACAGAAAAACAATGAAACCTAAACTGAACAGAAAAAACAGATGGAGGGTGACTAAAGAAAGAGAGAAAACATTTATATTTCATATGTGCAAAACATATTGTAAGTCAGTTTGATGCTGCAGGACGTCAAAGCTGTTCTACAAAAAGGGAGAGATCCAAGAAATTTGTACTTGACTTTCCAGTACACTCAAGTCAAGAGTTCAAGATAAAAAGTGTTAACAGAAGAATCGTAACACAAAGGAATTTATGCAAAAAATTAAACTAGTGTTTTGGGATGGGTATAAATTCAGACACCTCAGTTCTTAACCCAAACTTTAAATACTGTCAGTTGGGAAAAATAATTTTTTCTTGCTAATCCCACACTTTGCTAACCCTGCTCTTTCAAACTCCTGCCTGCTGAAAGGAGCAAAACACTGTATAGACTTTCTGCCAAATTCAGTTCCTACTGAAATAATTCTTTCATTCTTATCTCACATACTCCGAGTGGACCACTTGAAAATTTCACTTATTAAGCAGAGTGAATACTGAAGCCATCTGCCTGGCCCTACACTTTACCTAAAATTTTATCACTAAGCTGCACGTCTTCTGTCTTACTGCTCCCTGCAACTTTAAGAAAACCTGTGGTTACACCTTCCTAGATCTGATTTATCAGAAGACAAAAGGAAGAATTGCCCAGAGTTCATCTGTTACTGTTTGGTTTTTAATGTATCTGAAAAGATAAGCTATGTATCTTCAAATAGGAGCAACACATTAATATCTTGGAAGTGAGGACACGTGCTGCAGTGAATTGCCACAGTTCATTAATTACCTGGTATTTGAGTGGGTATTCTTTTTCACAGAAATACTATGCATCTTCTACAAGGAGCCTAAAGAAACTGTTTGTATGTGTAACTTACTGACCACTGACGGAGGTAACAGGTGCTGGAAGTAGCTGACTCTCCCTTCTTTTTAGTCCAGAGCTGACATTAGATTACAAGCTGTTCTGGAATGAGGAGCCAGATAAAAATAGTAGTCTCCTCTTCCCACTATGAAAAGAGAGCTCAAGAAGTTGTAAGACTTGTATCTACTTTCTGGGAACAGACGTCTGTGGCGGCAATGGGAGGCAGAGCAAGGGCCAATAAATGGGGTAGCCCGGAATTCAGGGCTTGGGAATGGAAACCTAAAAGCCCCAGACTGGTTACTCCAAGCTTTCTTCTATTGGGCAACTCACATATTCTGTTCTTGAACAGAAGTAAAAGTGATGATTACCTGATGGAATCGAGACAACAATGTTGAAATTGTCATGCTTTGAACATGCAAAGCTCCTCAAGCATGCATTCATAGCACAGACACTTTCTATGCCAGATGAGATTTCCAGCTTTCTCACTCAAGCATCTGAACTGTGACAAAATCAGGCATGCAGTACTTTGGGAGGTGACTCCTATTTAGCACAGCTGTAAAATTGCATCTTCAGCTTCTGAAACATCACATTTGGTCCAGCATATATTATTGACAATGCTGTGTAGTGACACAATCCTTGCATGGAGAAGGAACATGGTAATGACATTGTGCACTGTAATGACATCCTCCAGCATGGTGCTTCTCTGCCTTTGCGCTCAGGAACAGCCAGACCTACAGACTGAACTGCTTCTAACAATCCCAGGCTTTGAAAACAGAAATTGGACTCTCCACAGAACAAGCAGGCTCCTATTGAAAGCTAAAGCCATTCTGTCAGAAAGTGGGGTGGTTTTGCGCCTTTTTTTTCTTTTTTGTTTTGGGAACACATAACAGCTTTTTCACTGTCAAAAACCTGGTAAGAGTCACAAGGGATCAAGTCAGCGCAACTTAAAAACTGTGTGTCAATTAAGATGTAATAATAGCTGTACATGCATCCCTAGTTAGGACCAGAGGCAAAGTCAAAAAGTTTAGCTTCAAGTGCACGTTAAAAAAGTCAACTTCATATCCTCTATCCGTTCTTCATATCCACAACAGCTTGCAATCATATGGACATACTCTCAGTCGCTGCTTCCTAATAGTTGAATTATTAATACACAGTACCCAATCTTTTGTGGGATTTTTTTTTTTTTTTTTGTTTGCAGCACTCAGCCTACCAGAAACATCACAACTACTTGCGGGGTAAATGTACTGCTCACTTTGGTCAAAAGTAAACTTATCTGGGGAAAAAAGGGCTCTCTGACAAGAGCTGGCCACAGATGCAGGGGGTGGTCCGGCTGGCACGGCCAGCCAGCCATCGGATTGAATGGACAGCGCACCTCACCCGTCACACCTCCTGCAAAGCAAACAGCTGAGCGCTGGGGAAGGACACCGCTGTTTGCTCAAAGGCAACCCCTCACCAAAATTTGCTTAGCAGAGCTTTTACAAAACCAATTTTACAGGGCAGGTAAAAGTGCAAGGGGGAGGGTAAGAGGCGAGAACAAATGATTTGCTGAGGGGCGACAGGAGGGATTGCGTACAGAGGGCTGGATAACCCTGAACTCGCAGAGCCCCTCTGCTCCCCGAAACGCGCCAAAGGGGCGCCTGCAAAGTTGCTCGGGTCGGTTTCACGAGGATAGCTCCGGGAAGGTACGGCCGATTCCCGGGCGCTCATCCGCCAGAGCCCTAAAGGGAATGGGGACGCGAAGACGCCCCGGCACCGCGCTCCCCCCGCCCCGGGCCGGCGGTACGGCGGTGCCGAGGGCGGGCGGGCGGTCCCGGGGCGGTGCCGGGCGCTCCCCCCGCCCCGGGCCGCTCTGCCCTCAGCGCCCGTCCCGCCGTTACCTTCTCAGCCTGGGCGAGGTAGAGCCAGAGGCGGCGCCAGGTGCTGAACTTCTTCCTCTCGCTGAAGTTGTACGCCATCTCGGCGCTGGCGTAGCGCGACACCAGCGGGGAGCGGTACCGCGCCATCACGTCCTGCGCCTCTCCGGGGGCCGCCATGGCAGCAGCAGAGGCAGGGCAAGGCAAGGCTAAGCAGAGCAGAGGCGCGGCCCGCGGGATAAGGGCGGGCGGAGGCCCCGCCCCGCGCCCTCAGCGCGCCCGCCCCGCCCCGAGCCCGCGGCGCGCCCGGCGCCCCCCCGCGCCCGGAGGCCAGGGCGGCCCCAGGGACCCCGACACGGCCGCGGGACACAAAACGTGCACAAAACACGAGCTTTAAATGCTTAGCAGCCAAACACATTTATTAGTATTTTTTTTTCTTTTTTTCCAGGAACCCAAAAATAGTTTGTAGTTATAATGTAAGCAACTGAGTTGCACATAATACAATCATATCTTTCAAAAAAACAAACAAACAAAAAAAAACAAACCAAAAAAAACCAAAACGAAGAAAACAAAAAACCAAAAAAGCTGTTTAAAAGCCCAAAAAAAAAACCTTCAGAAAAACTTATATATAAGTATTACACCATCTCTCAGTTTCAATGAAATGACGACGACTTAATTCTTTATTACTCTTAACTTGTCACACTCCAATAAAACGTCACCCTTTTGTTTGTTTTTTTTCTTTTTCTTTTTTTTTTTCTAAATCCAGCATGAGAAATACAGTACCTGCTATGGCAAAAATACACATAAAATGCAACATTTCAGCTTATTTGTACATTAGTAGAGTTTAAACATTTTATTGGTTTTTTTTCTTTTTAAGTGAACCAGTGATCTTAAGTACCACTATACTAAAAGTAAAATAAAAATATAGAAAAGGAGGAAAAGGGGGCAGCCAGCCTTACAAGAGCACCTTCTAAAGTGCTGAGTTTCTGTGTCCATGGAAAACCCTTCGGAAGTTCAAACATTTCTGAGAACATGGGATGGAAATTAAGATGAAACCTGGATATGCAAGACATTGCGTCACCTCCTCTACATTCTCCCCATTTGTCCTGTAATTTTCCTTACTGCACACTATAGAAAGAGGGGAGAAACTAGAACTAGGTAAGAGTTTAGTAAAGGAAGCCATTTCAAGTATAAGAAAAAAAATAAACACTTACAGGTAACTTGCAAATAGCATCAATATACACAGCCACTATTTTATTATTACAACGTCTGCTTCTGGGGGACAGTGTTTCAGGCAAGAGGACTTTAGCTGTACCTTCCTGTTACCTATTTATGTGCAAAGTAGAAAAGCTGCCTTTTCTAATCCAGCCATATTGGACATCAATGATTTTCTGTTCAGCCACCTCATCCCTCCATTCCCCAAGGAGAGAAAAAGGGGGCATTATTTTACCAAGAATAGATGAAATGAATCTGTTTCTCCATTCCTCTTCCGGACACACCTTTCTCCTATTACTTGTTTGCAATGAAGAGAAACTTGCCCAACTCCCGATGCCCACCAGTAGCCAGTTTCCTGAACAGGTAGAAGGCATTTACCTTTGTAAACATAATCCCTTATGTTTGTGGAACTCAAAGCAGCATTTCACACCTCCAGCTGAGTAGTGGAGATGAAAATAGATCAGAACGCTCCCCTGTCACTGCTTTTCCTCCTCCCCTTTCTCTTCCGCACCCAGGAAGATTACATTTGGTTATTTTTGTTAGAAGGTGGGTGTTTTTTTGGTTCTTTGAGGACAATACTTAGCATTTAGTTCAAAGTAAACATTACAGAATTACCATAATCAGATTTATACTGCTGTTTGTTCTGCTTTCTAGATGAGAAAGAAAAAGCATATGCATCAGATGTTCCGCAGGCTTTAGAGCAGATGTGGCAGAAAACCAAGATAGCTCTGCATGTAAATGCCACAGGTGCACTTGCATCACTTCAGCTTCTTTCTCTGCAGAATTTCTGTACACACTTCACCTTGATTACTGGCAGAGATGGAGAGGGTGGCGTAGGGCAACAGTGGAGAGATGTTCCTAAGGCCATGGGGAGCAAGGCAGGACAGAGAGGACCAGGGAGTGTCAGACAAGACGGGTTTCAGGTACAGAAACCATGTTCTTGATATTTCAAACGCCAAATTCCAAGAGGCATGGGCTCATATGCACATCCCTGAGACGCACATCCAGAAAGAAGAAACAGGGACCAAGTGATTGAGAGGGGAGAAAGTAGCAGAGGTTCCCTGACAGCTGTGGGATTTACCCAATGAAGACCTCATCCCCCACCACCCTCCCAGAGACATTTTTGGGAGAGTTGTAAGGCATATACACAAGCAGCATCTACTATCATTCGCTCTGTTCCTACGTTCTATTGGCAGGTGATGGCTTCTGTATGTTGTGGACAAGAAGAAGAGACACTGCATTTGAAGTGTGACTGGTAACACACTGAAATTAACTTGGGGAAGGACACAGGAAGCTACTCTGCCCTTCATCCCTGGAGCAGCAGCATAAAGTGGCCAGGTTCTTCATCTTACAGTCCCCTCTCTGGAACTACACACCACCACCTCCCATTCTTGATGGCAGGAAAAGACGCGTCTACTTCAAAGATGACACTACCAACACTGCCATTTAATGGCAGGGAGAAGTACACAGACTTTTTCTGATTTGGTGGTCTGGTGAAAGAAGCAGCAAGCTCAAAGTACTTCAATGTTGAAGCTTACCTAAAAGTACTGGAGACATGTGACCTGTAGCAACACTGGCATAACTATATAAAGAAGAGAAGATGGAAACAAGTATAAAGACTGAAGAGTATGAGTAACTGAATCTCTATCAACTTCTATCATTTAGGATCTGAGTGTCTAATGACTTGAATAATTAAGAAAATCAAAAAGGTTATCTCCCTCCACACAAGCAAACAATGTAAAAAGAACTAGCGATCTTGCTGTGAAAACCTCATAATACTTCTATCATGCTTTTTTCTTTAAAGCACTTGATAAACATTACTAGTTGATCCTCACAAAACCCCTGTGAGGTAGGTAAGTATTATTAACAACCCCGCTTTACAGATGAAAAAACAAAGGCAAAGTAGTTAAATGACTTGCCCAAGGCAAGGAAAGAGTAATGGCCAATGTTAAAATTCAGGAGTTTCAGGCTTCCCAAACCTGTGCTCAAAACCACTAGTTCAAACATCTTTTTACAAAGGAGATAACGGATGGAAATAAAAGCCCATCAAGTTTAGAAGAAAAACTAAGATTTAAAAGGTTACATCAGAAGGGAAAATGTACCACGAGGTATTTTTGTGAATGAGTTTAAGCTTCTGATTTTTTTTTGTTTTCTTTTTTTTAAAAGGCATTCTGACAGAGTGGAACCCTGATAAGATCACATCTGCAAGGCAGGTACAGATGCGAGAGTGATCATCAAGTCTATTACTTATTACAGTACTGTGAATGTCAACAAAAATAAAATTGCTGCATGAAAACACTGAATACAGGCGGGATAATATCTCAGTTTATGATATTACACCTAAGATAATGCCAGTACCATGGTTCACCATGGATAGAGGAAAAAGTCAAGTCAAAAGGTCCCTATTATAATGATGGAGAGAGCAGTGAGATCTATATTTTTTTCTGAGGAGATTCTTCCTGGAAGCTCAGCAAGCTTCAAGGAATGCACATAATTCACAATGATTACATTTTGGAGATGTGAGGAAGTAAATCCTTTTTAATGACCATTATGATACTACCTTATAATAAAAACAGGATAGTTCCTTTCAAATACAGGGAACATATCAGTCTACTTTCCCTAAAATTTCACATACTGTCACCATTAGCACTAAGTCACTGGCAGCAACGCCAGACAACAAAACACCAGTAGCTGCTGACATTGAAAATACACAGTCCTCACAGCTGGGCTTTGATCAGCACTAGAAAGAAAGTACTGTCTCCACCATCCTGCCCACAGCTGCTCTGTCCCTGTATGAAGAGTACCAGAAACAGCAGCAAAGAAAACGTTAGGGATAAGGAAGCGTGGATACCAAGGACTAGCCATATTCCATCTCTCCTGGAAGAGCACAAGGACTGCTGAAATGGAAAACGAGTAGTAAATCAAAAAAACCCAGTGCCTGTGGCAGTGGGTTTCCTGAGCTTAACAAGGGCCAGAGCACAGGAGGTGGTAGATATTCCCCAGGTAGACCTGGTGTCCCATTCACCCTTTAGGCCCTGGGTTAACACTGTGCGGCTGAATTCACCCTGTGCAAGGCTGAGAGCTGATTTTGTTTTGCAGCCAACATTGGTTATTCAAATCTCTGCCCAGTTAGCAATTGACCATCTTCTGACAAAAAAAAAGGTTCTTATCAATTCCTTCTTAATTCAAAGTTATCACTTCCCCACTTCCCCAAACTATAATGGATATGCCATGGACACAGAAACTCCTGAACAGTTTAGCAAAGTATCTTTGTCCCCTGCACCCCCTTTGCAGAATGCATAGTTTACAATTCACTTACAAAATAAAGAAGCAATGCTGACCACATATGGGACCTTTTTTTTTTTTTGAAAAAAGAACAAACAACCTCTTCTTAAGTTCAGTATCAAAATTCACATTTGCATAATAATACATTTCAAGGCCATTAGAGAGGAATGAGAGCGAAGCAAAGAAAACTGCAGAGTCTCTCCTCTCTTTGTCTTCCTGAATAGAGCTGAGGGATCCCACTGGAGTTTCTTTTCAGGGTGGGAATTACAAAGCGCTACAACAACAGCTCTTGATCTTGTACACCTCATGTTTTGGGTGGGACGAAGAGGTGAATTATTCGGAAAAAAAAAAAACAAATGGAAGGAGACACTGCAGATTCCCATGTTTAGCTACAAACAGCTTTGAAGAAACAAAAAATTACTTCAGATTTTTTTTCCTTTTAAACACTTCTACCTTACCATTTCAAAAACTTCTTTTTTTTCTTCTTGTGTAATACCCTGTTCATTTAAATGGCAACGTTAAGTGTGCTGGAAGTTGAAGGGTTGAAAAAAATTTCCTGTTTCACTTATCAGGACACGGGCAGAGAGGGTAAAAGTGTGCCTGCACCCACTATTTAACAGAAGCTACAAAACATCATCTTCTCTACATGTATAAATTTGTCTCAAACATCACTGTGTTCAAATTCTCCAGTGCTTACAAAAAAACAAAGCCACACACATTCACACTCATGCACACAAACATAAAGAGAAGCCACATA